GGTCTTCATAAGGCACCATAAGGATGACATTGTTGTTGTAAGCTGCCATGACGATTGCGGGGTCCCACCGGCTGTGCCAAAATGTGTGTCGGCACAAAAATGTGTTGACACACAGTAAGCCAGAAGGATCTGCTTGATGGAGCTAGAGATCCGCTTGGCTTCAACGCAGGGATAACCGATCCTACGAATTCCTCCTAAGACGTGCCAGTCAATTTGACCCTGCAATTAATAAGGAGAGAAAGTTTATCAGTAATTTAAAGTGGAACATGCCGGTCCTTGCCCAGACAGTTCCAAGTGTGCCGCCTCGGGAGCAGCCAGACGGGAAAATCGACTAAATAGCCGATACACATAGAAATCGGCTGTTACAGATAGTGATGCTTATAGATCGCGATTAGTTTTATGTTGATAAGTACAATGCCCGCAAACATAAATGAGATCATCAGGTAAGTGGATATTACTAGTATGAACCATTGAGCCGATGAATCTAATCAGGAAAAGATATAGCATGCAAACAAATCGACTGTCTAATACCAATGGATCTACAAATGCTCTAAATCTAATATGTTACCATCAACAGTGAGGTTTGACCGGATCCATGGCAGCTATGATTATAATAACAAACTAAAACCGAAGAATCCATAAAACCATCTATACTTCGACAGGCTTTCCGAAAGACATGCTATACGTGAAGGCTCAAATAATTCGGCTAAAATAGCCCATTTAGGTGAAAAGGGACTACAACGTGTGAACAATCGACTATTTCACATGGACAAACCTATGGACTCATCAGACTTAACCTACTATCTCTAACAGTGGGGTTCGACTGGATCTATGCAGCTGTGATAAACACAATGAACTAAACCCTTAAAGTATATGGATCTATTCATGCTTAACAGAGTCATGGACACACACTGTAGGCGTTAAAGCATAGGCGATTGGCTATTTAGTCGCTGCAGGTATAGGAAACAGTTAAAGTCACACCTAATCGAGACCAAATCTACTAACTAGCATCCTCTAATCTAAAGTGCTATCAGTGGGGATCGACCAGATCGTTGCAGCCATAATAGTGAACCGTAAACTAGATTTAACTAGCCAGCAAACCTCTTCAAGATCATACATGCCTTAACCGCGTACTATGCATGATCAAGATCGAAGTAAAAATAGCCGATGAAACATAACCCGTCGCTTAGAGTAAGAAATATAGTGTTGTAACAAAGCGAATGATGGACTGAAAGGATATAAGGCCGATCTAAATCAATCTTGACCGGGCGAATTGATGTTGTTGCAAACTAATAACAATGAGAACATCAGTAAGATCGGTAACTTAATGAATCTACCCGAAGGATGCCACCCTTATATAGAGCCGATAACTTGACCTTAATCTAGTTCGAGTAGTGGAGGTCGACCGGATCGATGCAGCCATACTTGAACTAGACAAGAGTCGATAACTAGCTTATACTAGGGTTCACACTGGAGGTTGACCAGATCGATGCGGCCGTACAAACCAAAGTATAAACCATGACGGCACTTACAGACAAACTGGAGGTCGGCCGGACCGATGCAGCCCTACTTGCTGAAGAACTCGCCGAGATCTACTCTACTCCTACTCCTAAGGGTTGGCCGGAGCCAAAAAAAGGCAAATTGTATTTGATTGATTGGATGTCTTTTTACAATAGCCGGGGTCCAATATTTATACCCGGAGCCTAAACATGAATCCTACTCAAGTACGACTCATTACAATCTTTGGTATAAAAGAAAACATTCCTATCTTAAGATAACTTGGACCCTAATCTTTTCCCTTTTGTAGATTCCAATATGTATTTTCTGACACCAATTGTAGCTCATTATCGTTATCTGCTGACATCATTCAAAGAGAGCCGATTCCAGTATTGCATCTGAATCAGCTGATATCGATCCTTATATAATTCATTCCTTGATCGACACAATTTTGGAAGCTTCAAGTTCCCGTGTTCTTCCCAAATTTTGGTGTAAACATGTAGATTCATTTTACAAACTTTTTATCTTAATTTTATGCTATTGGTGTAATGTTCTAATCTATAGTCATTGTTTGCTATGCATGATTGCTTCTGAATGCTTGTATTTTGCTGTGATTATCGAGTATAGATGGTGAGCAATTCGTGGGTGATCAAGAGTACTATTTTGACGAGCAGGATAAGCAGGAACACTTTGTTCAAGGCAATTATAACATGGTCATCCTTGTTTCCTATAAACTTTAATACATTTAACTCATATTGCATGTGTCACCTTGATAGGGATTCCCTAGAATTGAACTTATACCTTGTCTCCTATAGGATATAAATTGGGTAGCTTTGCTAGTGCTCAACTAAACCATGATCTTGTAACTTGACTAATGGTATATGAAATAAACATTAAAACATGACTTTTTAGCAACTTGGAAACTAGGGGCTGGAGTGTTTAGCTACTTTCTAAATGCTTCATATTCCTTTTCCTAAGGACTTATCTGTAAGTGATCATCTGGGACTTACAGTACAGCTATGAGGGCCACATGGCTCTGGCTTTAGCTCAGTATGAGGACCTTTTCTAGCTTGTTAGTGGTTACCTCTAATGGCGTAAGAATGGCTTGACGAATCGGGTATAATATGGCCTCTATTCCCTTGTGTATAGGCTGCGAGTCATTGTGCCATCAGGAAGGAGGGCTCTACATCTGTTTGCCGAGTGAATCTAATGTCCCTCACTTGTTAGACGAACTTTTGAAAGGCTTTACAGTGAACCATGCCTACTCACCTTAGAAGTGTTTTGGGAGTAATTAACCCGGGCATATGGGTATCACGACTCACAGTGAAAGTGTACAACCTCTGTAGAGTGTAAAACTGGTATATCAGCCATGCTCACGATCACGAGCAGCCTTGGAACCCTTATGGAATAGATGATCACTATTAATTATTCGTTTATGTTATTCATTATTCCTATTTACATTGATCATGTGTTTCAATTGGGATTATGACAACTTGTTGCTACTCATATGCTAAAATTGTGACAACTAAAAGCTAAATGTTGTTAAACCTGTGTCAAGCCTTTTAAGCCTCATGAACCCCATGTTACACTTGTTGAGTACGACACGTACTTACGCTTGTTTGTTTTCATTATTTGGATAAAAATCCCTGATGGGTAACAAATGGTTATGCTAGTGATGACTTTCCTGAGGATTACTAGACTTGTGGTCAACTAGTTGATGTCCCTGTGTTATGGAGCTTATGCGAGAGATTTTTCTTTATACTTTCGCTACATTTATATGAAGACTCTGTCTTATTATACGTGATGTAATAAATACTTGTGATGATACTATCTATAATTTGTTAGCTTACGTGTGTGACTGATCTCTGGGCGCACATAAGATTATGCATCCCATTTTATTCTTAAAATTGGGTGTGACAATACTTAAAAGGGAGGCGATCCTGACAGGCCATGCATGGCCCGAGAGCTCCTTTGGCTACCTCCATGACCGGATCCATCAAGGAGGGTGCCGGATCCAACGACCATGGCCGGATCTATCGAGGAGGATGGCGACCATGAGGCATGACGGATTGACAGTCTCTAATATATCCAAGTACTTTTGATACTCCTCTTCACCTTGACATTATGATCGCTCTTCTTATCCCCATCTCCCTTCTTTGCAGATCCGGTGGAAGGGGTCGATGGCGTATGATGATCGAGGATGGGCTACTTCGGTGGCAAATGTCCCCACCTTTATTATTCCCATTAACAGTGACGACTTCCTAGAGGCGGGTGAGAACCCTCTCTAATTAGCATTTAGATGGTTTAAACAATTGACTAGACGCTTTAAATGGTTTGCACTGTTGCAATAGATATACATATAAAAATTATAATCTTTATGCAAATTTTTAAGTGCAATTTGAGGTGTAAACATAATTGCACAATTTGACATAGACAATAAACAATTGTACATATAGTCATACTCATAGTCATATAGACATCATTTAAATAACACGGAAATTTCCCTTCCACATATGCAAACGCAATTTCAACCATCCAAGAAGTTCATCGAGCAACCAAACTTTCCCGGTTAATTGTCTAAACAGTTGTTTAAACACATGTTTTGGTGTTTACAGCCATTTAGCCACCGTTAATATGCCATGTTTAAACCCTTTTTTTAGTGACAAGAGACTAAACTACACATGAACCCATTGTTTATTGTTTAAACATGTGTAGGCAACTATTTAGACCTGTTTAGGTGAACACTAAAACTTTGTGTGATGCATGTGCTGTAACTATTCTAAACTATTATCTTAGAATGTAATTCTAGCACTATATCAAGTTAAAGTAGTATCTTAAAGTTTGATTAACTATAAAAATATACCAATATTTTTATAATATCCAATAAGCATGATTAGATTTGTCATAAGATATATTTTGATGCTATACTTATTTTATATCATAATCATTAGTATCTTACCTATATATTTAGTCAAAATTTAGGTGCGTTAATGAAGAATGCATTTAGAGTTGTATTCTTTTGTGGACAGAGGTAATATGATGTAAGGTTGAATAGTACAACCGTACAAGAGATAAATGCTATTGCACATTAGCTGCTTTGCTACCTTTCTTCATTTAACAAACTAAAGATGCTCGTTGTGTAGTTATTTGAGCCTCTCCATTATATCTGTTTTTCAACTCGATGCTGAAATTATTCATTTCCTCAAAAAGGACACAAAGGTATATATATTTGTGCTTTGAAGACCCTAATAATATAGTAACAAGAAGAGAAATTAAGCAGGCATGTCAATGCAAGAAGTAATTAACGCATGCATGCGCGAATAATTTTAGTTGTTTTCAGTTATAACAGGCAGCCCCTTGTTCTCAATGTCGTCGTACTTGGACGCTTTGAAGCATGAGCAGCAGGTGTTGTTGGCCTTTTTTTTGTTTCTGTTGTCTCTGCTTGTCCTCCTCCTTTCGCTCCCTCTCCTTGGCCACCTCAACTCTCTTTTTCATGTGTTCCGTCACCGGCAGCCACCCCTTTTTTGGCCAGCCGGTATATCCACGGCGACATGAAGAGCACGATGAAGCACAGGGTCGGCAGCACCCTATAACAGTGGGCCGCCAGATGTAACATGAATGATTAATTGGGATCTCACAATGCAACGTGTGCATGCAGCAAGAGCTAGCTAATGGCGAGTACCTGGCGATGTAGACGACGCAGACGAAGAGGAAGCAGGTGAGCACGATGATGTAGATGGAGTTGGCCATGTTGCGGGTGGACCCGGCGATATAGGCGCCGACGAGGCTCATGAGGTCGACCATGGTGGTGAGGGTGAGCGCCGCCACCTTGGCCTCCGACATGTAGAACCGCTCGTTGAGGAGAAGGATGATGATGACCAGCGACGTCGCGACTCGCGAACGCCGTCGCATTGAAGTAGTAGAAAGTCAGGTAGCGCTTGACGAAGGGCCCGTCGTGCAGCACCGGGTTGCCGGCCAAGTGCCCGTTGCTGTCCTGCCAGAATCCGCCGGGAGGGTTCAGCCCCGCCTGGTACGTCACCGACGCGGCCAGGGTGGCCAGCACGATCAGCCACCCACGCATCTCCTTGAGCCACTCCTTGTGCTCCACTGCCGTTGTGACGCCATTGGAGAAGATCATCGGCACCTCCGCGCCGGGGACTGTTTGCCGATCGTTGGACATATTGGCCGGCGAGCTAGTTCACCACGAGGTAGTAGCCTAATATATATTTATTGGATTGGAGATATATATAACCAGTAAAGTACTTGGCATTTAGCTTGGAAGCATGCCTTTGCCTTTACCACGATTGCTAGCTCATCCATATTCCCGTTTCATGTGATTCAGCTGTTGGCAGGTCTCTTGCCGAATGGTGAAGCTAGGTACAATAATGCTACTTGAGCTTTTCGGTCAGTAGTTCACTACTGAAGCCAACAAGAAGGGAGTTATTCGGTTCCTAGCAGCACCTAGCAAGAATGGAATAATGCACACGAAACGACATTGGACAAGGTCATCCACTGTCCCATATATAGTTGTGAATATGTTAGTAATCATTTTTGCTAGAGCAAAGAAAGATAGTCAGGTGAGATATGGGTAGTAGCACGCAGACATAGTAGAAGAGGGTTTATCTATATATTACAATATGCAGATCAAATAATAGTTACACCCCTCCGGTCATGAAAATCAAGCATATCATCTAGGACACGATTCTTTTAAAAGAAAATACTTAGGCCAAGGTTTGGTCAAACCTTAAAAACAAGAAACATGGTTTTCTTAAGTCTTTTGTATTGATATATTTGTATTGGAAATATTATTAAAATATCATAAATTTGAAGGATCTTCGAAATACATTCTACTCCCTTAGTTCCAAATTGTAAGTCGTTTTGACTTGTTTACATATATAGTGTTGACGCTTAATTAGGTCACATACTCGATAAGGAGCTAGATCGCTCGATGTGGGGCCTAGCCGATTTTTAGATCCGTCGGCGCCTAGGGGATGTCCACACCTGGACCTTATGCCTCCAGCGATGAGTGCGATACGCAAGACACGTCGCCGGAGGAGCCTCGCCGGGAGCGCGATACGCAAGACACGCCGGTGAGGTCTCTTGAGACACGAAACCCCACATGCTCGGGAGGGCCCCCGTCGGGGCGTGCATCGGCTATGGGCTGCTCTAGCCGCCCTGGCCACTCTAGAGCTTCGCCGTCGTCGATCCACGGTCCATGCAGCGCCGACGAAGAATGAGGAGAAGAGGTAGATAGGAAAAGAGGGTAGAGAGAGGTAGTAGATGTGTTTTTTGAGGATTGAGTGTTGGATCCTTCAATCGGCAGTGATCCTCTCATATATATAGAGGACGGTGGTGTTATCCCAATAAAAACAACTCCAGATCGTAATCTCCAAGTTTCTTATGCGAAAATACGGTCAAATCCTGATCAAAATAGAGTTTGGGTCGGACTACTACAGGCAAACCGGCCTAGTCGGCTCCCAAAGCTGCTAGGCAGGTTTTCACGGGGCCTGGGCAGCCACAGGTGCAGGCCAACTGGCCTGGCTGATTTACAAACCAGCCTGGCCGGTTCTGCTGCAGTCCGGTATAGAAAATCTTCTAAAAATTATAATTAATTCATCCGGACTTCAAACGAGACAAACCATATATGTTTTTCGATCAGCTCGACGAGAGAAACGTAATGGTGTAATCAAATCATGTATTTGTGGAACTTGACCAAACCGGCTTGGGACCCGGCCAGGAGGGCCAGCACCCCCGAAACACTATTTCTTTGTCCACGCTCCAAATTGGATGATCCATATATGTTGTCTGATTGTCTTGACGATAGAAATATGATGGCAGAGTCTATTATACACTTTGGCCACTTTTGGTTGTCAACATATGCCCCCCCTGTTTTTAGATGAACCTAAAAACAAAGAAAACTAAATAGCAACGATGTCCAAATCATCAACTATCTAGCGACTAGGGACGATGTATACATCGGCCATATTTGTTCTAAAGGTGATACATGTATGGGCCATTGTTTGGACAGCTCTTAGGCTTCTGCCAAACACTGAGAAAGTATTGTTTTAAATACCTCCCGTTAATTGCTCTAGAGAGATGTTCACCTTGCAACATCTCTAGCATGTATGAACTTCCGAACACCGCTTCACCTTTGGAGCCAATTTATGTGTAGCACAAACACCTTCATAAACTTGTCACATGGTCATTTTAGCCTGATCATCATCCAAGCATTTAAGCAACAAAACTTCAGCAGTTCTCCTATATATTTTACCATTGTGCAAAATAAATTTGAAAGCACTCCGCTGAATATTTTTATCAACTTTAACACTTGGATCACGTAAATATGCAACTATAGAAGTCCTCCAATCACTTGAATCGGCTTTAGCATCAATAAGGAGCAATTTAAGCCGATTCGAGAAAAATCCTGTAGGCAAACCGGCTTGGCTGGTTCTGGAACCGGCCTGGCCAGTTTGGCAGCCTCCAGAAACAACAATGCGGCGTATCGGCTCCCTTTTGATGTGAAAATTTCGTCCACCGACGTCATAATCTGATGCTTGTTGAGCTCACATGTTAGCTTTATGATTCTCATGCCTCAGACTATGCCGAATTTGAAATTTGGCAAATTGCTTGATGATATCAAGGCACTTGTCAAAATAAATATTTATTGACCCTTCTAAGCATTGATACACACTCGTGACTTCCTGCACGACCAGTAAGGAATCACCAAAAGCTAAAACATGGTCATCTCAGCATCAGGACAATAGAACACTGGTACACCCTCTTCAGCAATAATATATAATGTGAATGGAACTCCACTCCTAGATGCACGAAGAACCGGTGGTGTTGATAGAGAATTCTTCAGAAGCACGATTAACTTAACTTAATTTCTAATCGACTTCTAGATTTTGTCCTGCATACATCGACCGTGGTCTAATGCCAAACCCAACACCAATTTGCTCACATGGGTTGGTCGACGCAATCTCCTATCCAAACAAAATTTACACTACATGATGATATGGAGCCGATTATCAATCGACTCTAAATAAATGGGAACAAAGCCTCCTATAGTGAGTAAAATGCAGCAAGGTCTCTCCCTGACAAGCAAATTATATCATCATGCCCCCCAAGCAAAGGGGAATCAGCCGTAGCATAAGCCGATGAGTCTACATGGACGACCTCGACTTTATTATTCACCCACTAAACGAGGAATTGGTGCAAGCTAGAAGGCACACATTGATTGCCATGAATCCATTCCCGCCCAAGTATCAAACTGTAGCTCCCTTGCACCTCTGCAACGAAGAAGACGGTGGCCAATGTTTTGCTCCCGATAGTAAGCTTCATCAAGGTAAATCCCTTGGCCGAAATAGAATTTCCACCAACACCTTTGACCGTCCTCCTGGTCTTAATCAACTCCTCATCAGATCCGCTGAGCTTCTTATAAAGTGAATATGGCATTAGATTCACCATGGCTCCGTTATCCACTAACATATTGTCGATCAGTTTGCCATTAATGTAGCCATTCACATGCAGTGGCTTGAGGTGATTTACGTGGTCTGCTGGCTTCTAGAAAACAGCTTAAACTCTAGAAAGCTCCTCAACACCTGCAGGAACAAGATCAACAACAGCAGGAACCGAATCAACCAAAGTCGCATCGGCAAGCGCTGGAACAGTCAAAGTCGGCCTGGCTAACCAAAACCTAGCTTGGCCAGCCTTCGAACCTGGCCTAGCCACCATCCCGACCTGGCCAGCCACTAATCCTGGCCTGGCCGGCCTTTAAAGCAAGGGGCGAAGTTGGCCTAGCCGACTTTAAGTCGACCTGGCCGACTTTCTCTATGTCAGCTGCACTTTCTAGTTCCTTTGCTAGCCCTTCTTGCTTGAGTTTCATGCAACGAGCACGCTGAAGTTTGCGCTTTTGTGTTCTCGACAAACCTGAAGGGCACCATGTTGGTTGAAAACTCTCGGGGGTCGATGTGCTATTACGGACTTCATGATTATTAATAACAGTGTCCTTTGAAATCGTCTCAACATCAAATGGGTCTAGATTATCAATGAAAATTGGTCCCTCACTTTCTTTGATTGGAGCATCCTTTTGTTAGACCTGATTAGCAAGTTTAACCAAAACTGGCTTAAGAGGTCCTGCCTTGCTAGAGCTTGATTGGCCATAGCTCAATCAGCTCTAAGGGACACAACGTTGCTCATTATGAGCTAAACCAGCACACATCCTCCCCCGATGAGGATTTTGACGTATTAATGGATAAGGAATCAACACTCCATCTTTATATGTGCGCTACAATTTTTGTTCACAACTAGCTTGACCGATTTGGGAAATTGATCTTGCTGATTTTTCCTTTCCACTAACATTAAAATCAGTTTGGCCGACTTGGCCGACTTTTAAAGTCGGCCTAGTTGACCCTTTTTGAACAATAGTATTAGTGGTTGATTTCTGCTTGTCCACGGGAGTTTGAGCTTGCCCCCCGAGCCCATAATATTTGATAGTAATCTTGAGGCTCTTCCGATTACCATTGGACTTTTCTAGCACTACCTCATAGTCTAAGACTTTCTTTCCCTTCTTAGGTTCTCTGGGCTCGCCGATTATCACATTTTTTCCTATAGTAGAATCGGCTTGTTCCGGCCGAATCAAGATGGCCAGATTATTTATCTCTAGAGTTTTGGTCATAGAAAGTGTCTTATTGCAAGGTAAAGGATGTAGATCTCCGCCATGCGTAGCTTGCATGTCGAATTCTGCCTCTTTTGATTTCCAAAATTGATTCATAAATTTCTATGAATCGGTTTGGGAGGCATCACATGAAGCCTCAGGTATTGGAACCATGCATGATTACTTTAGAGAGTCAGACAACACCATAATATGAGGCAATGAAGCATGCGGTGCTACTGTCCTATCTTCGGTTCGAGCAGTACGAACTGAATTCGATGTGTATATACCATCAAGAAGAATAGTGCTAACTCCTCCTGAATTGGTCCTATTGGTTTCAAGCACCAAAGAGACCAATTCAGGTTTCTTCCTAAAAATAAGATTGCCATACTGATCAATACAAGACAACCTCTTACCAGGAGGTATAGTACTAGCCCCTTATGAATTGGCTTTATCGGTTTCAGGCGCCGAAGAGGCCAATTTGAATTGACTCTTTGAAATCAACCTGCCACATAGATCAGAATAAT